CTTCCTATTATATTTCTTCATTCACCGAAATGTATTTTTTTTTATCTGCTCTTTTAGATTAGCATGATAATACCCCATGGAGGGGAGGGAAAGTGGTGAAGAGCTATTGTGGGACTGCTCATCAGAATCACTGTGTGCAAGACTGCGGTTATTATCATACTAAATGCACCATCAGTTAAACTAACGGCCTGAATTCCGACATTCATCTCCAATATCATAGATCGACTGTCAATTGCATAGGGAGCACAATGGCAAATTATGGGTTATGTCTTGCTCCTTGGAGTCTGGATCTTTCCCCAGTGTAATTATGCTATACTAATTCTACCCCCCCCCCAGCCCCATGCACTTCCCTTGACAGAAACAAGGCTTCCCAACTGTTCGGATGTCACAAACCTGGGTGAGGTGAAATGAGTGAATAAATGTTTGTTTGCATACTGGCGGCGCACACGGAACTCGAGCGCTTCCTCTGTTTCTCTTTTCAGCTCTGGGGTATTGAGAGGGAAAGGCTCAGCTGGAGCTCGTAGCCATGTTTCCAGAGACAGGTCGGAAACGGGTCAGGCCACCTTGAACTCGTCAGCTGGATTTATTGTGTCGTAGGTGGACAGGGTCAGGCTGCGCTCCTCCCCTCCCCTGCTTCTCAACACGAGGACTTTGTTAGCGTTGGACATGGAGAAGACACTGGCACCACAGACAAATCCCAGTCACGAGGAGGAGGAGAACCCTGCTGGGGTCAGAGGTCATGTGTTAAGGGGGGCATCCCTGTGGCATGACCTGAGTACTGATTGATTTTCTTGCTGCCTGGTGATAGTAAGGAGGGGTCAAGCCACTTACCCCTACCCCTTGATACAATGGGGGAATGGGAAACACTCAAGTCACAATTTGCTGGACTCCTCTGCTCGACTGCGCACCTCCAGCGGGTGTGTGTTTTCACTTTCCCTGACACAAGACACCAGGCCACATGTTTTCGTTTAATAGACACCTGAGTGGAGAAAGGGCAGGAGTGTGGTCTGTTTGCCAGATGATCACTTGGTTGTTGGCATTTGGTGGAAGACGGAAGAAGTTCCTCTGCTAGATTTACTTGTTTAAAAATTCACAACCATGGTGACCATTGATGATTATTTCTGCAGATATTGCATTATGAGACATGGTTTTAGTGGGAATTAGGGCTGTGTGATATGACTATAATCTCATATCCCGATACGTCATTTCATATCCCAATAACGATACAAATCCTGATATAGATTTTTTTGTAAATCCAATGACATTAATTCTCTGCATTATAAAGGTGGTTTCTGCAAGTCTGGAGAAATCCAATACCATCATATAGAGTGAACAACGACACAGCAATAAATGTAATTAACGTTAGCTAAGTTGTAGGTTAGCAAACTGTTTCTACTTGCTGCTGCAAAGCTAACGTGAGTGGAGTAGACGGTCCCAAAGCTCCAGACAGCGATACTCGCAACTCTCCTGCTACTATAGCTAACATCACAACAGCAACACGTCTTTGTGGACTCGAAAGTAAGCTGAATGTCTGTGGACAAGTCATTAAACATTACCTGACGCACACATAATGGCTCCAACTGCTGAAATAGTGATGTGTAGCCCGTCCATACAGTTGACTTGTCTCTTAGGTATAAGCTCCTCGTTTTTGTTTGCAAAATCCTCCTGTTCCGTGTCACCCATTTCTGAGTAAAAGACTATGCATTAAGTTACCGTTTTTACTCTTGACAGTAATATTTCTTGCCATTTATTTTCTTCCCATAAAACTGTTTGCTGCATTGAACTTCAACCTGTCGTCTTTCAAGGTGATTTGTTTCAGCCAGTAAGCCACTTTTCCCAATGGCTCTCCCATACCGCTGTCCATAAAATAGCCAATATTTTATGTGTTGTGTTGATCAACATGTAATTAGCCTTTTAAGCTTTAAAAGCTTACTTTCCAGAACATTTATTTGGACTGTGCCCCCTGCAGCATTATTCTTAAGCCAAAAAGACGCCTGAAAGCAGTTTAGTTTAGTTGTTCAGTAAAGGTTATAAATTGATACAAATCATGGATGTCTGTTAAATTGATTTAAACAAAAAAGACAATTGAAGAAAAACTATTTCAAGTTAAATTAAAACCTTTCATTTTCAACCAGCAACCAGTAGGAAAGAAATCCATAGCAACAAGGTAATGTTTCCATGGCCACAGAATGAATTGTTTAATTAAGGCTTGCTGGGAAAGGATTTGAAGAAATAAGAGCTAAGAAGTAGAAGGTAGAAAGAAAGACATTTTGTTAAGTAGCTGACCAGTAAATTGTAATGGTCTAGAGCTTTGGATAATCTCATGAAGCTTCTAATGCTGATCCTCAGACCAAATCAGGCTTCCTGGAGTTTTGATCTGGGATTATGAGTGACAAAATATACTTACAGTAGGCTTAGTTGATTAATCAAACTGCAGTCAGTGTAGTATTAATAGGGATGGGAAGTGTGTGTTAGAATGCAGGGTGATATGTTTTGAAGATATCTTCTAGCTCTCGATTTCCAATGCAACCCCCAACCTGAGTCCACCTTGTATCCATTTACTGAATCCGTACAAGAGTCGTATGAGGTCTGAAGATTTAATGAATCAATAGACAATTCTGCAGATTAGGTAGGCTAAGAGCTTGAGGTAGCCAAAACAAACATCCGGTCCAATAGTTCTGAGGCCAAGCATTGATTTAATTACGCTCTCAGCTGTGTTTTCAAGTTGTGGTCTTGTAATTGTTCACATTAAAGGACAGTGTTTTTGTATTTTGTCAGGAGTTGAGTCCGAGCCCGGGCTGGGCTACTGTGGCCAGGGAATCATTTGTCTTCTTTCATTCTCCTCACTTGGTCAGAACAGATTAACCAACACTGTAAAATACAAACATTTACAATACATTACACGTCATTTTTTTTGGTCATGACGTTTTTTGGGGGTTTTTTTGCCTTTTTTTCGTATGGAATTCAAAACATAACTTTGGTTATTTGGTGGCAGTTTTGATTTTCTGTTGATACAATTCACCCCACAATTGGTATTGACTTGTGAGGCTTGCATATTCTGACTTTTCCAACGTTTAACCATCCCCTGTGTTGTGCCCTCTACTTGCTAAATTGCAAGTAGATGATGATGGAAGACATGTTGGCATGAGTCTAGCAGATGGCCAGCTGATCTGCGTTTCTGAAACCCTTCTTGGTAGTAAAAGTGCACTCTGCTAAATTAATCAAAATGCATTTAGGGGCAATTTGTAGTCTGGGAACTTTAAGTGCCTCAGAGATAGTCTGGAACCTGTTGTTCAGCCTGCACTGGAACTTGTTTTCCACAAGGCCTATGCATTTTTGATTCTGTTTTTTTCCAGGCAGTACTGTAAGTTTAGAGCTGATCCTTTTCCACAAATAGTGGGCACAGAGCTTTTGTCAATGAACATTTCATTCTATACCACTGAGACAGGAAAATGACCATATGCCCAAATTTATCATGCACCCTTGGATAATAGGCTGTTATTGATACACAACCAACCAAGGGCAACTGGACATGCCCTGGATTGACCCACCTTGGATAAGAGGGGGGGGGGAAGCTGGCAGTAGTGTGAGTCGAGTCCGTGCACTGGTTGGGAGAGAGTACTTTGGTCAGGGAATCATTTGTCTTCTTTCAATCTCTTCATCTGGTCAGAACAGATTAACCCGCACTATAAAATGCAAACCTCTCTCTGTAATTTCTGTTGGTCAAGACTTTTTTTTGCCTATTTTTTGTGTAAGTCAAAACGTAACTTTGGTGGCAGGTTAGATTTTATATTTTTGCACAATTCACCACACAACGGTATTGACTTGTGAGGCTTGCAAAATCTGACTTAACTCTCACTGTGTCGTGCCCTCTACCTACTTAATTGCAAGTAGATGATGATGATGGAAGACATGCTGTTATTGATGCACAACACAGAAGTCATACTTTCCGTCCAGGGCTTGCAGTCCTAATGTCAAAACAAAGAGAACTTGAGAGCGTGGAGGAGAAAAATAAGCTGGCAAGCTGGTTTTGCTTTAACCTTAACTGAACCATTTGCAGCATGTGGCTGCCAGCTGGTGAGCTTGCTAATCCAGAGGATGCTGCCTCTGCAAGTCTTCCTGATCTCCGCTACTTGAAATGTGCTGGGCTTGAGGTCAAAACCTCCATCATCACCATTTGTCAGAATTAGTCCTTGGCGCAGATCAGGATCCAACTTAGGTCATTACATTTCATATCATCTCCAAAAAGCTATATATATGATTATGGCCAACTATCTTCATCTTCAGGTATGGATAAGATGCACAGAAATTTTCCAGAACAATGGCCAGGTTAATGCAACAAAAAGTATGAATGCTTATTGTAATGTCTTTCACAATTTTGAATTTGCCACATAAACCCCTCTGAGATTATGCATGAGATTGAACCTGTGATTGCTTTTTTTTTTATGCTTAATGTTCATTTGAAAATGAATCAGCAGTGACTATATAGAGTAGGGGATTAAATAATTTGCTATATGTTCAAGAGTAATGTTCTTCAAAAGCAGAGAAAATTGCTTATCAAGCATGAAATGTTTTTTTTTATTTGTAATATAATTTGAAGCTTAGTTTACGTTTTGTGCACTGGCAAGGTGAAGACGTTTTTCTGGGAGCAGATTGCCAGAGCAGATTGTGAGCTGAGATACCATCATCAGATGTGGCTAGTTTGAGATCTGGGATTTGTCAAAAACATTTTGTTCACTTATTGCAAAAGCAACCTGTTGTCATGCTCACATCACCAACCATGTTTCTTCCCCAGGCATTTTCATGATGAAAGTATATATCCAGTATTAGTAGTCTGTCATTGTTATTCATAGCTTGGACTTTTTGAGTTCTTTGAAGAAAGATACAACATGATTGCTCTGACTGATCATAGAGGCTTAGGTTGCATCACTGTAAGCTGACCTGCGTTATGTCACAGACTGACAAAGATGTAATAGTGATCTCTTATTCTTCTTTTACAGGTACACTGACAGCTGCTGTCTCCACCAGCCTGTACCAACCTGCTCTACTCGCCTGCTTGTTGGATTGCTGTTTGAAAGCTAAGGTACAGTACAAATGCGGTTTCTTTCTAAAGTCTAATTAAAAGTTGAAGATTTGATTTAGGGAGGCTCGGAGTCTCTGGTCAACTGATCATTCAAGTGCAGTATTTAGATTGGATGTAATGTGACAAAGTATGGTCTACTTTCAGGAGACCTCTTCAAAGACCACTTAATTAATAGATGCTTTGTGGAAATACTGCCACTGAAGCAGCTTTTTAAATTAGATATTGTCTACTCAATTACTTACCTATTCATTTTAATCAAATGTCAGAAATGAGCTTTTAAATATTTGGCACACTTTTTATGAGTCTTTCTCCAATCAAGGACAAACTTAGTTTAAGCCAAGATGCGTTACAACCACATATGCAATGAAATGGCTAAGTTAGAGTATTAAAAGTAGCATTGTCCTCATTGTTCGTTATGCAGTGTTGTATTGTTGAGAACCATTTAAAGGCCCTGAAAACCTATTTTCTCACTCAGTCTTTTACTAGGTATGATGGCGTCCTAAACGAAGACACTATCGTCTGCCAAAGTTGGATCAAGTATGGTTATTTCACATGAGTGATTTCTGTATTCATGTTTGTAACAGCTCTTTTTACTGGTTTGAAGTTGGCGTGGCTTAACTGACGGTTGTTGAATCTTAGGACAGTTGTTGGGTTGTCGGCTTATGCTGCCAAGTTACTGTCAATCAAATCTTATCAATCCACAGAGTCCAGATGAAGCACATAAGCTGAGTTTTATTAGACTCTTAATAAATAATACTGGAAGATGTGTTTTTCTGAACTGAAGTGTAACATTATTACATTTTATGATGAACAAGACTGGCTATGAGCATTGCTGAGTTCCAGTGGTTTGTATTTTTGCTGTGTTGTAGTTCATAGTTGTGTACTTGTCCTTGTGTTTCACTACATTGTAATTCCACTATTACATCTTTCTACTGTGTACATGCTATCTGTTGCATGTCTGCCTGTCCTGTAAAAGGGGCACCTCCCCTGTTGCTCTCCATGAGATATTGTCCCTTTTTTTTGGTTTTGGAGATTTTCTTTGTCTAAAAAAAAATGGTCTAAGGATATAGAGCGTCTTATGCTGCACAGATTGTAAATCCACTTTTGATTTTGGGCTACATGAAAAAACTTGTCTGCTTACAATATTGAGTGATTGGTGAGCATGTGATACTACAGTGTTTCCCACAGAATGAGAATGGGGTGCACGCAGTCTACATTGACTACCAGCTATATACAGCGTGCTAGCCTCGAAAACCCAGGTGGTTTCTGACATTAACTTGGCTCTCCTATTGTAGCTAAGCTCCTAGGCTCCTTACATGCTTGCTAATAACTTGACAGCGTTGTGTTGGACAGATTTGTGCAGCTGTGTTCATGAGGTAGAGCAAGAGAGACAAGGACGGGTGAGAGTATGTGCTGCGCTAATGCACTACTGCGCCCTGCATTCAGATATGAATTTAAATAGGCCTAGTAAAAAAATCGAAAAATCAATCTGTGGCGGTCAGCGTTGATATTGTGGCGGGCCGCCACAAATAAATGAACTTATGGGGAAACGCTGTACAAATACCAATGAAGCGTACACACCTGGTTGAGTCTTTCCAGTTAAGTTGTCAGGTAGTCGAAGCAGAAACCTGTAATGTGTCATAAACCAGTTGAATCACTGAGAAGCTATTGTGTCTGGCTGGACATTTCTCTAGTGAGCTTGTATGTGGACAGTAGAGGACAGGGCCAAGGAGTGCCGATGACAGGACGCCTCATGGGATGGTTGGAAACAGATGGTTGGCCAGATGCAGGCCTGCTTTGACCTTGAAAGCAACTGAAGGTAAAACCAGCACAAATGTCTCAAAAACAAGTGGCGATAGACAGTACAGCAGGATGGCAGTTCTGTGTTTTGTAATGTGCTTCTCTTGAGCTATTATATCTGTAAGTTACTGTGTTGCATTAGTGTGTGTGATCACGCATGCAGTTCATTGTCTTTGGTGTGTACCTCATCGAAGAAGTTAATCTTTTTTGACAAGTTCTAATTTGGTTTGTTTTGGTTCACACTGTTGGATTGCAACTGAACCATGGCTTGTAAACAAGACATTCATGGACTCCCAAAGCTTTTATTAATTAGAAAAAGGTTCCGTTAACTTATCACCCCGCAAAGTTTGAGAATTTGGTATTGCAGAGAGCTGATATTATTCAGGTTCCAGTGTGTGCAACTTAATTTTAGTATGATAGACTTATCTAAGCTCTTTTCCATAGTTTATTTTTTGTCAATCAATTCATCTGATGATCATTTTTTTAGGCTATTAATTGTTTGTTGTATAACATGTCAGAAATATTTTAGCCATTATAATTTCCAAAAGCCCAATATGGAAATGGATTGTTGCGGCCGACCAAAGCAGAAACTATTATCATAGAAGACTAAGAGAACCACAGAAAATCTTGCATTTTTGTTTATAAAACGACTTAAACCTTAATCACTAACCAAAATTGTTGCTGATTATTTTTCTGTCAAGCTTACTGATAAATCAACTAATTCTAAGCTCTAGTTCTCACATTTCATTGGACATGAATGTGAACGTGCAGTCGGTGTCAAACGTCATCTGATCATATCAAAGTGTTTCAGGAACCTTTTTACGGCATACCTCCTTAGGTTTGCACCTCACTGTGTGTGTTGTATTTTGCTTAAATGACATTGACAAACCACGGAGTTAATGCAAAGATGTAAACTCTCAAGTAATATCTTGATAAAATTAAGGCCTAATGAATTGTTTGTTGAAATAAATGGTTAGACTTAAATGGTTAAAGTTAGAGTGAAGTCAACATGGTTACTGGCTAAACAGTAGTGATCTTTTGTCAATAGTAGAACAGATTTTTAGAACAGACATTCCTGATGCAATTCAGGCAGCAGAGTGTGAAGCAAACGCCACCAGCAGCCTTATATTGCGCAGGCCTCTGGGGCTTTAAGCCCAGCAAAGGGAGAGCCATGATCAGAGCTGGGAACTTGTGTGTGTGTGTGTGTGTGTGTGAGAAATAAGAGGAGATGGTGGAGGGTGGAGGTGTCAGCCGTATAATTGGGGTGAGGAGATCTCTGGGGTGGATAGAGGGAAGCTTTATTAAGACCGCTCAAGTCTGATGTGCTTGCACGGCCGCCTAGCTCTTCCTTGCACACCCACGCCTGTGGGCCAATCTTCCATTTCCACAAGAGACTCTGTAACAACAAAGGGATGAAGGGCAAAGTCCTCAAGCTCCTTTCAGTCACAGATAAGACAAAAGACCCCATTACTTGAAAAGCACTGATGGGGAGGCAGCAGTGTACCAATGTTTTTGTTTTGTTTTTTATTTTTTTTAAATCAAGGCCTATTGTTCTTGCTTTCTCACTGGTGTGTGAAGTTGCTGTTACTTATTGATAGTGTTGTCATGTTGTATCTTGAGATGCTGTAGATTTTGGGAACTTGAATGAGGCACGCCAGCAATTTGTTCAATAGTCTACTTCAACTGGTGACTGCTTGATCTCCCTGAATTCACTCACTTCAAACAATGTACTAAAACGCTTGTTTGCTTAAAATAATACAGTTATGCATTAGACATTCCAGTGACAAATCTAGACAGTGTACACTTGACAAGCACATTATATTATGCTTTTATTATATTTTGGTTGAGAGCCGGTGAATGCATGGCTTGAAAATATATTGACAGCGGGAAAATGTGTGAAATATTTACAGCCCAAAGTGTAGGCAAATATTGGAGCTCAATGGATAAAAGAAGAATAATCTCTTGTTTTGTCTCACAAGGGAAAACAAACTTTCCAGGGTGACTTCCCTCGTGACGGATTGTGTCAAGTCTGATGGTGAGATTAGGAGCTTAACCGCTTATTTTCCCCACTTTGTGACCACTGAAATATTACTTCTGAGTCAATGAAATTCCTGTGTCACTAATTGAGACCTTCGTAGATGCATGCTTTCTTCACTTGGGAATCCTGTAGATGTCCGTCATCTCACAAAAGCAAAATTTGTGAGTGACACAATAAAGATTTTGAGTTGAAACAGGAGGCGGTTATGGGGAGAATTAGCGGCCCCCCTCAGTTCTCGGCTGTAAATTGGTTTCTGTTGAACTCATGAAAAAGGGGCTGGAGGTCTGTTCTCTGCTTCCTTAGTAGCTTGTTAATCCCCTACAGCTCTGGCCGGAGGGAGAGCTGCTTGCACATACACAACTCTGTTGGAAATGGCGCTACTCCTCCAGCCCTCTTCTGTCCTCTTTCCACTCTGTCCTGCAGGGCTTGGCTAATCCTCTGCCTGGTCATGGTGGGGAGATTGCAGGCTTTTTCAAAGCCCTTTGCTGGCTGGACTTCAAAGTTACAGGGATACAGCGACTTGAGAAGGTGGGAGAAAATGAGGTCCACCGCCAGCAAAGACTGCGAGGGGTTCACCTGAGCTTTTTCCTGTGCCGTTCCCGAGGTGAACTTTGTGTTAGGCAGTGCAATGGACGTCTCTGAAGATCAGTAGGTAAAATGTAACGGTGGTGATGTTTGAATTTTTGGGTCTAGCTGTGAATTTACTTTATTTTTTCCGTCAAAAACTATGCAACATATACAAAACTATACATATACACGACATATATAAGACATATGCATGAGAGGTTGATTACCCAAAATTTGTGTGGCAAATTCTTCACTATCAGAAAAGTTAAGTCACTTTGAAAGAAAACCGTTCAGTAGTTCAGTTCCGGACTCTCTCCTTCTCTGCTACCTTATCTTTTGTCTGGGACTAATCTTATCGCAGTCTCATCAGTCTTACATTATTCAGCTGGATTCACAAGATGTCTGCCTGCCTAAGATGTGGGCTCCGTCTGTAAACGTGTCATTGTTAGAGATTTAGCACTGATATCTCAATCCTGAATTTTGGTTCAATAATTTATTTATTTTGCTGCGAATGACTCTAATTTGATGGAAATGTCTTGGGAAGCTGATCCCGTTATATTATCAGATGGCACTGAGTTAGATTGGCTGTGCCGGCAGTTTGCTTTGTGCCGTGTTTACAAGCGCTAGGAATGTTCTGACTCTGGAAAGTGAAATAGGAACTTAATTTGTCAGAGGTTTATTCTTTGAAAAACAAATTTAACACAGACTTGTGAATTTCAAGTTCCATCTGATGCTTGTCTGAATTTTAAAATACCTCTATTTTTGGATTCAGCGTGACTGACACACTCATGACTTACAATAACAATAAATGTACTTTGAAGTCATAGAAAGAGTCTCCTAACTCCAGAACTCGAATCATCACATTTTAAGTTTTGTACTGTTTCTTTCTTGCAAATTTGGCATACTTTTGATGGTGCCAATTTACCAAAATGTAAATGAAACTAAAGTTGAAACCCCCAGGGTTACGCCGTGATTCCATGGCAACATTATACATCCTGTTTACTTCCTTCAAATAATTGTTGGAACTTAACTTAGAGCATGATTATCCCCCAAATAGAAGTAAGATAAAGAATCAAAGTAATAGGAGTGTAAAAAATCATTAACTTTTTCACAAAAAAATTAATTTGTTGCG